AAACACATCAGATCGAAAAGTAATAACACGAGTGTTCCACGTAATAAAAACGAATAAATTCCACACTTTCCTGCTTACTCAGATGTCTAAACTAATAAACAATACACAATATAAATTAGGATATTTACAGTCGACTGACATTCACTTAATAACCATTGGTCTCGAAAACTGGAGTTAAATTCATAACCTGATCACAGAACGATCAAAGATGTTGACAAAAATACAATTTGGCGAAGCTATGTTTATTTTACGCGACGGACACAATTATGGGACCACATTTATCATAAATTTAGGCGGAGTGAACAAAAGCTTATGCAAATTTCAGTCCGTTACATTGATTGAACAGATTCCACGTTAATAAATTTTGAAAATGAAACCTGTGTCCCCTGATCTGATTAATGAATTAAGTTAAGTATTTCATTTATCATAGATGACTTCACCATCTTTTCTATGTACATGACTCAACTCGAGTTATCGTCTCATAACCTTACNTCAGGAAGGAAGAAGATAAATATCTGACAATCACTAAACTCATAACAAATCAAAAAAGATATTACAGTAATTTACCAATTTTGATAAGTGGAAATTCCGTAACATTTTACACTTTTTACAGCCCTTTTAATTATTGTATACTGCTTCCTAGTTACAATGAGTTCCGTTATAATTAATGCAAACATAATATGAAATAGTTTTAAGTCAATATTCAGTGTTGAAAAGTCTTGAGTAGCTACCTCTCAACATGAGAGGACTTGTCATCTTGTAATCAGTTATATAGATGCATTGTCAGCTTATAAACAGTTGCATTGATACCTTGTCAACATGCAATCAATTGCATTGATACCTTGTCAGATTGTAATCAGTTGTATTGATATCTTGTCAACTTACAATCAGTTGTATTGATACCTTGTCAACTTGGAATCAGTTGTATTGGTACCTTGTCAGCTTATAATCAGTTGTATTGTTACACTGTCAACTTAAAATCAATTGTTTTGGTACATTGTCACCTTGTAATCAGTTGTATTGATACCTTGTCAGCTTATAATCAGTTGTACTGGTACCTTGTCAACTTACAATCAGTTGTATTGGTACATTGTCAGCATGTAATCAGTTGTATTGATACCTTGTCAGCTTATAATCAGTTGTATTGATACCTTGTCAGCTTGTAATCAGTTGTATTGGTACCTTGTCAGCTTGTAATCAGTTGTTTTGATACCTTGTCAGCTTGTAATCAGTTGTATTGATTCCTTGTCAGCTTGTAATCAGTTGTATTGATACCTTGTCGGTTAATAATCAGTTGTATTGGTACATTGTCAGCGTGTAATCAGTTGTATTGGTACCTTGTCAGCTTGTAATCAGTTGTTTCGATACCTTGTCAGCTTGTAATCAGTTGCATTGATACCTTGTCAGCTTGTAATCAGTCGTATTGATACCTTGTCAGTTAATAATCAGTTGTATTGGTACATTGTCAGCTTGTAATCATTTGTATTGGTACCTTGTCAGCTTGTAATCAGTTGTATTGGTACCTTGTCAGCTTGTAATCAGTTGTATTGGTATCTTGTCAGCTTGTAATCAGTTGTATTGATACCTTGTCGGTTAATAATCAGTTGTATTGGTACATTGTCAGCTTGTAATCATTTGTATTGGTACCTTGTCAGCTTGTAATCAGTTGTTTTGATACCTTGTCGGCTTGTAATCAGTTGCATTGATACCTTGTCAGCTTGTAATCAGTTGTATTGAAACCTTGTCAGCTTGTAATCAGTTGTATTGATTCCTTGTCGGCTTATAATCAGTTGTATTGATACCTTGTCAACTTCGAATCAGTTGTATTGGTACCTTGTCAGCTTGTAATCAGTTGTATTGATTCCTTGTCAGCTTGTAATCAGTTGTATTGATACCTTGTCAGTTAATAATCAGTTGTATTGGTACATTGTCAGCTTGTAATCAGTTGTATTGGTACCTTGTCAGCTTGTAATCAGTTGTTTTGATACCTTGTCAGCTTGTAATCAGTTGTATTGATACCTTGTCAGCTGATAATGAGTTGTATTGATATCCTGTCACCTTGTAATCAGTTGTTTTGATACCTTGTCAGCTTGTAATCAGTTGTATTGATACCTTGTCAGCTTGTAATCAGTTGTATTGATACATTGTTAGCGTGCAATCAGTTGTATTGATACATTGTCAGCTTATAATCAGTTGTATTGTTACATTGTACATTGTAAGCTTATAATCCGCTGTGTTGTTACCTTGTCAGCTTATAATCAGTTGTATTGATACATTGTCAGCTTATAATCAGTTGTATTGTTACATTGTACATTGTAAGCTTATAATCCGCTGTGTTGTTACCTTGTCAGCTTGTAATCAGTAGTATTGATACCTTGTCAGCTTGTAATCAGTTGTATTGATACCTTGTCAGCTAATAATTAGTTGTATTGATACATTGTCAGCTTATAATCAGTTGTATTGTTACACTGTACATTGTCAGCTTATAATCCGCTGTGTTGTTACATTGTCAGCTTGTAATCAGTTGGATTGATACCTTGTCAACTTATAATCAGTTGTACTGGTACCTTGTCAACTTAAAATCAATTGTTTTGGTACATTGTCAGCTTATAATCAGTTGTATTGATACCTTGTCAGCTTGTTATCAGTTGTATTGATACGTTGTCGGCTTATAATCAGTTGTATTGATACCTTGTCAGCTTATAATCAGTTGTATTGGTACCTTGTCAGCTTATAATCAGTTGTATAGATACCTTGTCAGCTTATAATCAGTTATATTGATACCTTATGTATATTTACAACCAACAATATCCTTATTCACTGCCAACATTATCTATAGTATCTGCCAACGAAATGCTTTTATATTCACGAACTTTCACGAAGAGCGTTGACATAGTTAGAACGGACAAGGAGAAATTGGTGCATTTTACATTGATTTTAGTATGATGAGTCGTCACCATGGAACCTTTAAGAAACTCAACATCCCAGGACCAGCACCCTGGCCAATCATTGGCAGTCTCATTGAAATCAATACGGGGGTGAGTGGTGCTTTTAGACAGAATATAACCCTATGTTTATACTGATTACTTTTCAACTATAATTATATCTTATGTTTCTTTAATAACACAATCTTATAGTTTTTTATAAATATATTGTCATTACTTTCTGTAGTGATTCGCCGAATACGAAGGAAATACATATCTGCTAGTGTATTGTTTACCTATGATGTAACGTTCATGTCTATATGTACTTCACTGCTTAGTGAATTGTCGGTCATTAATACGAAGGTAATATATTAGCATATACTGATCATAATTTATTTCGGCGTACATATAATGTTATGTACGAATCAACGCGTTTGCAGAATTTTCAAAAACAAATATATACTTCAATGCTGATTTCCTAGTTGATTGCCGATTGTTGATGCGAAGGTGATTTATATTTGCTTTGCTAATATAAACTTATGAGGGTTTGTTTATAGTATAGAAATAGAATATTTCAATACCGATTTCAACAAGGTAACATAGCAATAAAGGAATGCGGGAACACTACAGTTTGGGATTATGACGGGGCCTCAGCGTGCTATAAATGTCCAGTAAAGAGGTTATAAAGATCCGTATTACGTCTCTAGCAGATTGATTAAATGTACTTAATTATCATATTGCTTGATATGGTAGTTATGATATATACCTATGTGGTATTGATCACATGAGAATTAAGGTACGAAACTATAACATAGTGATATTTATGTTTTCATGTTTCGTATAGTCGATAGAGCTACCAAATAAGGGTAAAATATAATAAGTCGTCGGTTATCTGCCCACTGTCCTATTATTTATAAATTAACAGCTATGGTCATCAAAGGACGTGCCAGGTTTTTGTTGCTAAGAAAAGCCGGAGTTCCCGGAGAAAAAACACCGATCTACGGCCAGTACCTGGCGACTGCCCTAAGTAGGCCTCGAACCTGCGACCCAGTGGTGGAGGGCAAGTGGTAGCAGAATGTCAGACGCCTCAACCACTTGACCACCTCCGTCCCCTGTAAAATGAGTCAAACGACGATAATCAAAGGGAAGACTTTGAGAGCAGTGTAGAACGTTGATGTAGGAGAGCCATTTTGTTGGTGTTGATATTGGGTGGGATTATTTGTTAATCATAACAACGTAAACACGTTGATTAACCTAATCTTTGACTTTGGCTTTGTACGGTTTGTGTTGCAGGGATTTCAAAAGTTCCATGTAAATGAAAACAACGCATAAACGTTTATTTACCTAATACTTGACCTTGACCTTTGTACGATTTGTGTTGCAGGGATTTCAAAAGTTCCAAATGGATTGTATGAGGAAGTATGGAAAGGTTTACGGGTAGGTAATCAATACTTATTACATTGACATTGTCTCCCTGGACCACAATTTGACGATTTAAAAAAAAAGACAATCGTTTATTCTTCCCGACACCTTTGTTCAATTTCTGAGATGTTTACTGTTTAAAATAAGCGTTGTTTGGTATCATTACAAAAATGTCATAAAATTATGAAATATTATTTTTAGATAGAGGTTTCAAGAGTCCTGTCATTATTCCTTTTCCTAAAAGTTGTGTTTATCCTACGGCTGTACAAATTATATCGTCAGGTCTTAACGCCTTAACACCCGTGTACCGAAGAGATGTATTAACAAAAATGTCAGTAACATTTCATTTTGTTTGCTTTTCTGTAATGTAAAATTGGCGTCTTTTCAGTTTCAGTACCAAATCTATAAAGTCTTTCCTTTGGAATATACGTATAAAATCATTTTTATTAGTAATGCATTGATCAATCTTTGCTTATAAACCGACCGTACTTTGCTTCCATGAATAAGTAAAATGCTTTGCACACCAAGCTGTACATAACATGCTCTTTGCAACATGCCAAAGACAACATGCTATAAACGGCACACCACACACTATACACAAGCTGCACACAACATGATATCCGCTACATGCTTTATATAATAAAATATACACAATGCGTTATACACACAATTTGATAGAAACAACATACTATATACAAAATGTAAACAATAAACGATATACGCTACCCGCTGTACACAAAATAGCATACACAACACGCTATAGACAATTTTTGATAAACACAACAAATTAAACAAGACACGCTAAACACACACGCTGTTCTGGTCATTGTTCCACAAATTAGTTCTCGTTATTCAAGTAAGTTATTTTTTCTCTAAATCTTTGTTAACATTTTTAATAGAAACATTGTACACTGTGACTAGTTTTGTTACACCTTTGCTTTGCTTCCTCTGTAGATTTTATGGTGGATTATCGCCAATGACGATTGAAATAGGGGACAAGGAGATGCTGAGAATAATTCTTGTGAAAGAATTCGCTAACTTTACGGATCGAATAGTAAGGTGTTAATAGTAATAATAAAAACCAATATATATGCTTCATAATATCCTTTTCACGAGTGATTATATGGGTCGTATTGTTGATGAGTATTACTAGCATTATAAAAAAGGGAAGCATATTTTTGAAAAATTGTGTTTGTTAGATACAGAAAGCAAAATCAATGTAAAAAAAACATTATATTGCCCCATACGGCCACTTAAAGTCTCCTTAGAATGAAATATCCATGTCTATATAGCAAACAGGATAAGTATCTCTTAAAGCCTTTACAACATTACAAATTTACAGATTTAAGCTGCAGCAGATAATTCATACCTAAACTAGTATTTCATGAACATTTATGTAACACAATCGATCAGTGATCTTGCTTTTACTGTGATATCGTTAGTCGAAAGCCTTGCACCATCCCCCTCTTCGAACTCCAAACGATAACACGTGACATAATTTAGTTTTTTAATGTTTTAATATTACCTAATAAACTCGACTTCAAATATATATTATTCACATGAAAATATCGATTTTTATTCAAGAGACAATCATCACTTTATATATTGTACTGAAAAACGTTCATTATCTGAATAGCCTCTAAACATGAAACAGTTTTACCTGTGTGGAATTAAATCACACATTCCATGATAAAAAGCAAGGTAATACAACGTTAAATACATGTCACCTTACAATGATTCAAAGCTTAAAATCATATACTGTTTGTTATCTAGGTGTTTAAAGGATTCAATGGAGACGTGGATACAGGTATCAACAACCTAAGTGGAGATCACTGGAGACACGTGCGTAGCAAGATAACTCCCGCATTCTCCACTGGGAAACTGCGTAAAGTAAGTTCTTCTTATCCTGTCAAAAAACAAAACCTTTAAGGTATTTTATGAAATCAATTTTATCCGTGAGATTCATGAATGTTGACATAATAAAGGTGGAATATAGCAATATCTTAGAGAACATAGTCAGTTTAATAATAACAATAATTCAAACAAATAGAAAGTACTATTCTAGACTCTAGACTACCTTTTGAATAGTTAAGGTAGGTGCTATCATTGTGCTTGTCTCATTTAAACATTTCGGGTTAATGCACGGTTTGTTTGTGTTGATTTTTGTCACGGTTTTTCCCCCCATCAACTTTGATTCTGCAGATACTCCTTGTAAAGTGACAACGATTTTCAGTATTTGCATCATAAACTTCTCCAAAATCCGGAGGAGAACCATATGTTACAGTTTTTATAACATCTTGATCCTGTATATTTGACGATATCAACACTGTGAATCTTTATTCAATCATATATTGAAATGTCAAAGTTGGAAACATGGTTATGACCATGTCTTTTAAAAACTTCTTCATTGTAGCTATAGAAAGTATTTTCTGATAAAAAAAACCCAACTGAGGCTAAGATTATTGATTGACAGGACAAACATGATACTTTCGAAATGCGAATCAAAGATGAAATGGAAATTCTTGAAGCAAGGGGGAGGGGGGGTTACACCAGAGATAAAAGGTCGTTAACGAGTGTGACATAAGTCGTCACACACATTATTGACGTTTAAGTCGTCACACACATTATTGTCGTTTAAGTCGTCACACACATTATTGACGTTTAAGTCGTCACACATATTATTGACGTTTTTTGCCGTTAATGAAGTTTTTATAGTTAATATTTTTATCATAAAGGAAATTTAATAAATAAAACTGACGGGAAAGAGTTCTTTTAAATGCCACTCACAGAGAAAAAAATGATATGGAAGTGTATTTTATACTGCATAAAAAAATGAAAATAATCATATTTTAACAGATGGCCCCCTTGATAGACCACGCTAGTGACACACTTGTTGAATCACTGATGAGAAATGTGAAGGGTGGCAACGACGTGATTGAAATGATGGAGTGGGTATTGTTTCAGAACATATATATTTGATAGACTTTTACCTATTTCTTTACTGCCCCATAACAGTTGTCTTTTCATCTATTCCAAGGAAAGGTAACCAATATCACAATTTTTCATCTACGCTTGTAGTTCAAACTGTTATTTACGATGGGAGTTCTAATGTTAACATCACTAACAAGTCCAATATGATAATACTATATGATTTGTTAAAAGGTGGTAAATTAATCGTTTGTGTTATAATAATATTGTCTGACAGTAGTTCAAGTAGGAATGAAAAGAATAACAAATCGTGTCTTCTTCTTAATGTTCTATTTTATTTTTATATATATTTATTATTTTTGTGTTCGTCTGAAATAATCTTATGTTTGATTCTAGAGTATATGGAGGCTACACTATGGATGTGATCTGTTCTACAGCTTTCGGTATTCAAATAGATTCACAAAACAACCCAAATGATGAATTCGTTACCAACGCTAGAAAATTTTTGAATTTGAAACTGGCCTCTCCACTCATCTTAGTCTTGAGTAAGTTGTATCATTGTTTTTAATCGCAAGAATTACTAGCTTTCATACACGATATATGCATGCTTTGATCTAATGAGACTATACGTTATCCGTTTTGTTATTTACAGTATTTTTGCCAAAACTCCATTTCCTTATGCCTCTCATGGGATGGTCTTTCCTAGATAAAGATATTCAGGCTTTTTTCCGCAGAGTTACAACTACACTTCTTGCTGCACGCATTGCAGGGGACAAGGTAATATAAATTGTTAGCTATGGTGACGATTTCTGCTTGAAATGTATCATTGCTTTATTCCAAACTGATAGTGCTCTCTAGTTTTGGATTGTTAACCTTTGACTATCTCTTCCGGTTGTTGTATCGAAAGAAGCACCGACATTTTAGAAATTACTTGCCTGGTAAAGGGTCATCCTCGATATCCAGGTGTTACGCTCACGTTCGCTCTCTAAACCCCTGGAATATGGCATAGAAAAATTGAAGACACGCGGCCTGCTGTTTGATTGGTCTCAGGTAAAAAGAAAACCTGACCAATCGCTAGGGTGATACCTGTCCTTTGAAGATTACAAAGGAGAGACTCTCGACTTCAAAGCCTGTCAATTTTTACCGTTACGTGACCGCAAAATTATTTTGATGTTCATCAAAGGATCGAATTAGTCTTCTTGTCACATCAACAAGGTGGCGCACACTGAGCCTTCAATGTTGCTTTGACATATTCTAGGGATGTAGAGAGCGCAAGTGAGCGTAACCCTTGGATATCGAGGATGGTAAAGGGTAGGATTATACCTGGGAATGCAAAGGTATGCTACATGTATGTGAGCTCTCAAATAGTACAGCATCGTCTACAGTTACTTCCGAGGAGAACTGTTGATTTAAAAACATTGTATATTATATATGTCATAGGGACACATTTTCAAGTTTATTTGACCCTGAATAATTTATAAATCTATCGATTTGTTCATGTTATGATTGGGCTGCTTTTATTGTTGTTAATATTACTTTCTACCCTAGTGATTCTATCAAGAAGTTGTGAAATTGGTTTGCTTTAGTTTAATTTACGCTTTAACTATCTGGAATGGATTTTTTAAAAACAGATTGGTCATGTACCAGTGTCTAAAGATATCTTACGAAATCCGGTATTAAAACATATGCATATATCTTAAATGTGGTGTTTAAACATATCTATAACTCTATGATTGATTATTTTCAGAGTCGTGTAGATTTCCTTCAATTAATGAAAAATGCCCAATATGAAAAGGAAGATTCGGACGAGGAGGATGACAATGAATACATTTCTGTAAAGAAACCATCCACATCCTGGTCTAGGAAAGGTTTGTATAGCATTGTGTATTTTTAAATTAAGGTGATCTGAAATTTAAAAAGAAATACTCTGCGTCAGCACTCAGGCACGTTCCCGGGTTCAGACCCCAGGTAGGTACTTTTTTTTTTTTTTTTTTAAACTTTTAACTCACTAATTTGTTACCTCCTACTGTAAAATAAACAATGACCCTGGGTTCATTTTAGTGACGAGTATTTGCTTTGTCCTAACATAATATTTATTAACGTAACCGTTTAAACGGTATTATTTCAGTTGAAGTTGGAATATTCATTCAAGAGAATCTGTGTTTAAGCAAGACAAATGAAACAGCAGCATGGTGCATTCCTAATCTTGAATATGTTGTATCTATAAACAATATTATAGAATCTGTATTTTTATCACATACCTGTTGAATCACGTGTGCAATACGGAATGTTGTATTTACCTACTAGCCGGAACTACTTTTTATGGAAATCCCCTTGTCATGGCAAACTGAAAAGTTCTTGGTATTTGCAAAAAAATATCAAAGTCTACTCCGCGCACTCGTGAATATATTCGTCCGCGCAATAAATAAGTGCTTTCTGATTTGTTAGAAAAGCACAAGTGTGTTTTCTTGCATATGTATTACTTAAATCCCGACCCCAAGGTTTGTTATCACATTGATAGCCATACATATCTCTTTTGAGTAGTGGTAAAGGTAATGCTAACCCACTTACCTCATTATTGGTTTTAGATGAACCGATAATACTCTTTTTTTCCCTCAAATTGATATACCAAATTTCTTTCCCGAAACCTCCTTGTTACACTGTACAACAGTAGTTTAGACGAATTACGATTTGTGGATTTCCGTCTCTTTTGACCCTAGCATCACCGATGAGTCATAGCCAACAGCTGTCTACAGTTAAAGCATACTGTACCTGTTTAAAAAAAATAAAAAATAAATAAATAAGATAACAAATAGTAAAACGCATATCCGGAAGAGTAGAAGTTTGCATCAAATGCTACTCCTATCATGCTGTATTCCTTTGCCATAATCGAGACAAAGTTCGTGTGTATTTACTGACATCGGAAACTGAAGGCATATGGTTTGTATATACATATATATATATATATGTTTTATATGTTTCGTTCTTTTTTAAAAAGGTATCACATTTGATGAAATTCTCGGGAATGCCGAAACGTTTTTCTTTGCTGGCTATGAGACTACAACAATAACATTGTCTATGGCATCATACTATCTGGCTATGTACCCAGAGTACCAGGATAAACTGCGCCAGGAATTATTGGACAAGATAGGCTCCGTAAGTTAAGTAATTTAAGAATCATTAGAGAATAAAACAATTTAATCCTTTGACTTGTTATTTCACACCTTTAAGCATTAGGGCCTTAATATTCCACACAACTGGCTGAACAATGTATCCTTCAATAAATGAAGCATTATTTGTTTTTAAGAACATTATACAATTTTGGCACAGTGAAATTGATTTGATTAAATGATGATTAAGGTATGTGCAATTTCTAAACTGTATTATTGATTGGCTAATTGACTTGAACAATTTTTTAAGCATTGTGGAGTAATTTTGTTTTTAGTTTTGTGAATAGTTTTGGTTGTTGGTATCTGAAGTCTTGACGATAGACTGTTACATCAATGGATTTATGTTCCACAGAAAACAATGACTTATGACAATATTCGTGATGTCGAGTACCTCGAAATGGTCATTAACGAAACACTCCGCATCAGCCCTCCTGCCACACGGTAAGGATGACTGTTTAATATTATAAAACATGATCTTTCAATCAAAGTAGCAGGCATTGATGTCCCTTCATTTTAGCATAAGCGGTTCGTTTTAAAAGTTCAAAGTTTTACTTCTAATTTTAATTGCGAACATTTGGAACAGCATCTCCGTTATTGAGAACAGGACATATACCGGAAAGTCAGAAGGTTGGTAAGCAGGGTCGATGACACTATCACTCAATATTATAATAAATGGTATTGCTGCAGGACTGACAGGGTCTGCTTGAAAGATACGGAGGTTAATGGTATCAAGATCCCAGCTGGCATGAACATCAGTGTACCAATATATGGTATACACCACGATCCGGACAACTGGAGAGATCCGGAAAAATTCATCCCGGAAAGGTATATTGAAATTGTATCTAACAATGAACTGATAATTGCCCTAATATTAGGTCCCTCTCAATGACTTTGGGTGAACGTCTGATATGAATCCCAAATGACTACCTCGGTGTAGCTACCTTTGTTGAGATAAATGAATACCGATAAAGACTAGCACTATAGACGTAAGGTTTGACGGTATTACGTATGTCGGGGTAATGTTTATTCTGCTAAAAGATACTACAAGTATCATCAACATAACATTGCAGATTTGCGGAGAAGGACAGCTATGATCCTATGACGTTTCTTCCTTTCGGATACGGACCACGGATATGTATTGGCATGAGACTTGTTCAGATGGAGTTGAAACTGTCACTTGCAAAAGTCATACGTAATTTCCGGATTTCCATTTCTAGCGAAACGCAGGTAACAATTTTATTTTTTATGTATTTGTTTATTTAATTGTTTTAAATAAACAATCCTGGATGGAAAAAAGGCTGTATCCATCGGCTATGTTCAATGAATTCTTCAAATAAAGATATTACCTATATAGACAGAGGATGAACAATTAAACAGTAACTAAATTGAAACGGAATTCTACTTTCGGCTTCAAAGACTGTTGTAAAACTGTTAAATTGTGTTATGCGGATGAAATGTAAATATAATCCGAGAGGTAGAGACATGCTTATTTACCTGAGGCTATCTGGAAATGTTCTATTGTTTACTCGTTTAAACTTCAGATTCCCCCTGAGATGATGAAGCTGGGATTGTTAAAACCGAAAACTGTAAAACTCAAACTGGAGGAGATCAAGTAAACAGCTAACCCGTGTGGCTCTAAAAGGAAAGGGGTTTTAACTGTACAAGTGGTTAACAAAACTGAAAAACAACGATTGGAGACAAAACAATAGGCAAGTTCAGGCACATTCGTCACATTAGTAAGGGTTTCGGTTAATAATTTGTCCAAAAACGCATGTATCAAAATGCCGACGAGCACCAGTACAGAAGAAGATTTGACTGAAATGCCGATAAATAAACATTGTTGTAAACACGCCTGAATGACGTCACGCAACAACATTTGTGACGTCATCAGGACTTCCGTTGTTTTGCTCAAAGGTGCAGGCAGTGTCGCAACCTTCAAACATTTTACTAATTTACAAGTAATCTAAGTGTTTAAATGTAAAAGTTTTGTATGTTTATGTTACACTAGTCGTACTGATACGAACAGCTCCAAATGTGTGTGTGTGTAACAATGGTTAACATTGAATTACATGGCTTATTTTAGTTTTGGTAGCTAATTTTCTGTAACTTGAAGAAACTGATTGATGTTGTTTGAAAAACATGGCTGATATCGGCTGAGATGATGTCAATTTAAATGATACGCAATAAAGACTCATTCCTGAACAACTATAAACTTCCAAATCGCTGCCCAACATTATATTTTTCATCGGGTCCGGATGAGAGGATCCAGGGTTTTCAATGATCTTCTTTAAGTGTTGTAAGATGGTTGAATGCAAGACGCAAACAACACTTTCAAAAGATCGGATCTTTCCGATCGTCATTTCCATACACACATTGGATCGTCAGTACATTGTAAGTACCAAAGTACACTTGTAGAAAATCAATTTACTTGCGATGACGACTCAGTCGACCAATAACTGCAATTAACGTTGAGGTATGGATATTTGCAATGTGTATATAATGATTTTTTCACTAAATAACAAATAAATTGCCTCAGATTAATGAGTTTAGTTGACGAGATGTCCGTCGCGAAGACCAAGTTTATAAGATTCGTTGTGCTACAAGATATTTCATAACTGGTTTGATAAATAAAATATTGTTTCCCTTCTCATACCACTTCTTGTCAAAATATCTGAAGGCTTTAACTGTGCTGACGACTAAGATAACGTTATTTACGTCAGATCTTATGTATTATAATATAATATTGCATTTTCGTCACAGGGTGGCGAATTTCCCTGCTCTAGTGTTACAGGCAAAACGAGGTCTATTTAGCTTAGTAAAGATTACAGGCAAAACGATGTCTATATAGCCTAGTACAAAATTACAGACAAAGCCATGTCCATATAGCCTAATAAAGATTACAGGTAAAACGATGTCTATATAGTTTAGTACAAAATTACAGACAAAACGAGGACTACATAGCCTAGTAAATATTACAGACAAAACGAGGTCTATATAGCCTTGTAAAGATTACAGGAAAAACGAGGTCCATACAGCCTAGTACAAGAATACAGACAAAACGAGGTCCATACAGCCTAGTACAAGATTACAGACAAAACGAGGTCCATATAGCCTTGTACAAGAATACAGACAAAACGAGGTCCATACAGCCTAGTACAAGATTACAGACAAAACGAGGTCCATATAGCTTAGTAAAGATTACAGGCAAAACGAGGTCTATTAAGCTTAGTGAAGATTACAGGCAAAACGATGTCTATATAGCCTAGTACAAAATTACAGACAAAACGAGGACTATATAGCCTAGTAAATATTACAGACAAAACGAGGTCTATATAGCCTAGTAAATATTACAGACAAAACAAGGTCTATATAGCCTTGTAAAGATTACAGGAAAAACGAGGTCCATATAGCATAGTACAAGAATACAGACAAAACGAGGTCCATACAGCCTAGTACAAGATTACAGACAAAACGAGGTCCATATAGCCTTGTACAAGAATACAGACAAAACGAGGTCCATACAGCCTAGTACAAGATTACAGACAAAACGAGGTCCATATAGCTTAGTAAAGATTACAGGCAAAACGAGGTCTATTAAGCTTAGTGAAGATTACAGGCAAAACGATGTCTATATAGCCTAGTACAAAATTACAGACAAAACGAGGACTATATAGCCTAGTAAATATTACAGACAAAACGAGGTCTATATAGCCTAGTAAATATTACAGACAAAACAAGGTCTATATAGCCTTGTAAAGATTACAGGAAAAACGAGGTCCATATAGCATAGTACAAGAATACAGACAAAACGAGGTCCATACAGCCTAGTACAAGATTACAGACAAAACGAGGTCCATATAGCCTTGTACAAGAATACAGACAAAACGAGGTCCATACAGCCTAGTACAAGATTACAGACAAAACGAGGTCCATATAGCTTAGTAAAGATTACAGGCAAAACGAGGTCTATTAAGCTTAGTGAAGATTACAGGCAAAACGATGTCTATATAGCCTAGTACAAAATTACAGACAAAACGAGGACTATATAGCCTAGTAAATATTACAGACAAAACGAGGTCTATATAGCCTAGTAAATATTACAGACAAAACAAGGTCTATATAGCCTTGTAAAGATTACAGGAAAAACGAGGTCCATATAGCCTAGTACAAGAATACAGACAAAACGAGGTCCATACAGCCTAGTACAAGATTACAGACAAAACGAGGTCCATATAGCCTTGTACAAGAATACAGACAAAACGAGGTCCATACAGCCTAGTACAAGATTACAGACAAAACGAGGTCCATATAGCTTAGTAAAGATTACAGGCAAAACGAGGTCTATTAAGCTTAGTGAAGATTACAGGCAAAACGAGGTCTATATAGTATAGTACAAAATTACAGGCAAAACAAGGACTATATAGCCTAGTAAATATTACAGACAAAACGAGGTCTATATAGCCTAGTACAAGATTACAGGCAAAACGAGATCCATACAGCCTAGTACAAGATTACAGACAAAAACGAGATCCATACAGCCTAGTACAAGATTACAGACAAAACGAGGTCCATATAGCTTAGTAAAGATTACAGGCAAAACGATGTCTATATAGCATAGTACAAGATTACAGACAAAAACGAGATCCATACAGCCTAGTACAAAATTACAGACAAAACGAGGTCCATTTAGCTTAGTAAAGATTACAGGCAAAACGATGTCTATATAGCCTAGTACAAAATTACAGACAAAGCCATGTCCATATAGCCTAGTAAAGATTTCAGGCAAAACGATGTCCGTATAGCATAGTACAAAATTACAGACAAAGCCATGTCCATATAGCCTAGTAAAGATTTCAGGCAAAACGATGTCCGTATAGCATAGTACAAAATTACAGACAAAGCCATGTCCATATAGCCTAGTAAAGATTTCAGGCAAAACGATGTCTGTATAGTCTAGTACAAAGTTACAGACAAAACGATGTCTATATAGCCTAGTAATCAGACCAATAAGACAACGGTATATTATGTCCGCCTTAGATTGCAGACACTCGGGTTAAATTTATCAACATAATGCATCTATCAAAACAATCCTGATACGAATACTCGACTTTGGAGTTTAATAATAATTTATAATATAATTATAGAAGCAGGGAGATTGGCTTGTAATAATAGAAGAAAAGGTCGTTAACGATTGTGAAATTAAAGTCGTCACATACGTAAATAAGGTTATTGACATTTTTTGCCGTTAGTGAAGCTACTGTAGTTATTTTTTTGTCACAAGGAAAATTAAATAAATAAATCTGGCGGGAAAGAGTGCTTTTAATGCAACTCATTGAGAAGAAATGTTATGGAAGTAATACTATACTGCATAAAAAAAGAAAACTAATTAATCATATTTCAACAGATGGTCCCATTGATAGACCATGCTAGTGACACACTAGTGGAATCACTGAGGAGAAATGTGAAGGATGGCAACGACGTGATTAAAATGATGGAGTGGGTATTGTTTCAAAACATACATATGTCCCCTTACAGTAATTATGTTCGTCAATTCCAAGGAAAGGTAACACTATCACAAACTGTTATTTACTATTGGAGTTCTAATATTTACGTCAAGAATAAGTCCAATTTGATAACACTGCATAATTTTATAAAAAGAAAATCGTAATTTCATCATTAGTGCTATAATATTGACTGCCAGTAGGAATGCAAAACCTATTTATAAACATGATGCATCTATCAAACCAATCATGATACGAATACTTGACTTTGGACTAAGCAGGACGAGGCTTCATAAAAATAATAGTTTTGTCATGCAATCAAAATTGTTACGGTTTGATGATAATTATTGTCGTACTGTAGAATAATGTAAATGTCGAGATATCAAGCTGACACAGATGAGACAGTGATGTCTTTTAACTAAAGTTCTAGAAGGTAAACGGTATGAAAGCAGATCCTGACACTCTTAAGACAACCTTTTAATTACAGCTGGATACATAATTCCGTTTTGTAAATCGACCTACTTCAAAGTCGCTGTAGAAAGGCGATTTATATGAATAACAAACTAAACAACAGGTACAGGGATTGCACTACCGATCTTTCAAAGTATTCTTGTACCAATTATTTAGCAAAGTATGTGAAGACAAAGGCATATATTAGGGACTAATTTAACATCACTGTACCTTTTCTGACTAGCGATGTTGTGCTAACCTACCTTAATATTTTTTCTGTAATTGATGAGGGTTCATTTTGATTATAAATTGACGAAAATGTTAAGGTAAACAATTATTTCTAGAACGTCAAAGTTTTGTATGGATTTCTACATGATTGACATACATTTTATATTTCTGATGCCTATCGATAAGATATTTATATCCGAGTTTTCAAGCATTAAATAACACAACTTTCAGGGGTGATGCAAATAGAATTAGGAGAGACGTATACATTTTTGAGAGGTTTTAATAGATGACTGCTATATAAAGATAAAGAATATAGATTCTACAGAAGTTTTTTACAGGTTCATATTAAATTGTTTGTGATTAAGGTCGGACATACGTTCCTCGATAGCGGTCCAACAAAAAACAATTATTTCTACTAAATTTAAAGGGTTTTTTCCACCTATATACTTACCTATATGTTTAACCAAGGATGATGGCAAAACCACAAAAGAAACCATGCCACTTCTAGTAAGCAACAGTTTATCTCCATATTTATTTAAAATATTACTAACGTATTACTGCATCAACGTAGCGTGTTCGTCCAGATATGTTAGTCATTTGGCAGGTAAACAACTCCCAAGCTTTCAGTAGGACGTCACCACATCTTACAGGACTGAAAGTGCAAACAGTACGAAACAAAGGACAATGAAGGAGGAGTGATGCTAAGGTTACTTATCGTGAGTTGGTTACAGATGAGCAGAGTAATGTTAATAAGATTTGACAGCTAATATGTTAAGTATTAATCGTGTGATTATGCCTATACATGAATATCATGCCTATTTTTCAGGAACTTTTGGTCTTATTATCTAAGTACTTTTCATGTCTCTCTGTTTAAATATTTCCCTTATTCCTTATTTGTTGGTAATTGAATCGATGTTGAGTTGGCCAGATAGTAATATTAGTAATGTTATTGATGTTGAATTGGACAGATGGTTCTGTTGACATTTATTCCTAGTTTTTTGGTAATGTTATCGATGTTGAGTTGGACAGAAAGTTCTGTTGGTAATGTTATCGTTGTTGAGTTGTACAGATAGCTCTGTTGGTAATGTTATCGATGTTGAGTTGGACAGATAGTTATGGTGCTTATGTTATCGATGTTGAGTTGGACAGATAGTTATGTTGCTTTTGTTATCGATGTTGAGTTGGACAGATAATTCTGTTGGTAATGTTATCGATGTTAGGTCCGACAGATAGTTCTGTTGGTAATGCTATCGATGTTGAGATGGACAGATAGTTATGTTGGTAATGTTATCGATGTTGAGTTGGACAGATTATTCTGTTGGTAATGTTATCGATGTTGAGTTGGACAGATATTTCTGTTGGTAATGCTATCGATGTTGAGATGTACAGATAGTTATGTTGGTAATGTTATAGATGTTGAGTTGGACAGATAATTCTGTTGGTAATGTTATCGATGTTAAGTTCGACAGATAGTTTCGTTTGTAATGTTATCGATGTTGAGTTTGACAGATAGTTCTGTTGGTAATGGTATCGATGTTGAGTTGGACAGATAGTTCTGTTGGTAATGTTATCGATGATGAGTTGGATAAATACAGTTGTGGGACCGCACAACGCACCAAAAATAGCGTGCGCATACCGTGCATACATCGTTCACACACCGTCCGCACATCGTTCACACATGGTGCGCACAACTGTGAGATTTAGTAATCGTTCGCCCCGTTGTGCGCTTCTCTCCGCACAACTGTGCGATTTGGTATCATTTGTAGATCAAAATTACGGAATGACAAAAATACGGAAGGCTTGTATGCGCTAATGTACACTGTGTATATATCTGTAATTTCTCATCACAATAATCAAGATTATACAATTTCACAATGCGTGTTACACAGTATTACAGCGACTGTTAGGCTGTCAAGGATGGGTTTCGCTCCAAGGTAACAGAACAGGTAAATAACAATTGTATGAGTGTCCGGAGTTTTACCTGACCAGTGCCTGACACACAGAGCTGATATGCGATACCGTTTTACCGTAATGAATAGTATTTGTTATTTGCATTCGTTTGCCTATAGCTCCCATTCACCTGGATTTTCACACCCCGGCATTACCCGATGAGTTACGTAAATGCCCCAGGCGGGGAGAAAACTACGGTACAGGTACATGTACAAAGTGGTTATGTTTACCTGTATACGGGATTGTGTTGTAATTTTACATGTGTCGATTAAGTTTGTTTAAAAACACAGAAAAAACAATTCCTAAATATAAGAATATATAGACAAAAAGATAAGTTTATAGATGTTGCTAGAATATATAGAAGCATACGTAAACATCAAGTTTATATGTTTAAACACGAAATCGTATTAATTGTTTAGGTATTCCTCAATTTACACCAACCACGATTGTTATCGCACAACGACCGTCCATCGTGCGCACATCTGTGCGCAAGCAATGATCGTTCAGCTTTTTATCGTTCGCCCATCGTGCACACACCGTTCACACACCGTGCACACATCGTGCGCACACCGCACATCGTGTAACGTTGTGCGATCCCACAACTGTAGTTCTGTTGCTAATGTTATTGATGTTGAGTTGGACAGATAGTTCTGTTGCTAATGTTATTGATGTTGAGTTGGACAGATAGTTCTGTTGGTAAGGACAGATAGTTCTGTTGGTAATGTTATGTTAACAATGTTGATTTGGACTGATAGTTCTGTTGGTAATGTAATCGATGCGGAGTCGGACAGATAGATATGTTGCTAATGTTATCGATTTTGAGTTGTACAGATTGTTATGTTGGTAATGTTATCGATGTTGAGTTGGACAGATAGGACTGTTGTTAATGTTATCCATATTGAATTGGACAGATACATGTAGGTCTGTTGGTAATGTTATCGATGTTGAGTTGGACAGATAGTTCTGGCGNTATCGATGTTGAGTTGGACAGATAGTTATGTTGGTAATGTTATCGATGTTGAGTTGGACAGATAATTCTGTTGGTAATGTTATCGATGTTAAGTTCGACAGATAGTTCTGTTGGTAATGCTATCGATGTTGAGATGGACAGATAGTTATGTTGGTAATGTTATCGATGTTGAGTTGGACAGATAAGTCGGTTGGTAATGTTATCGATGCTAAGTTCGACAGATAATTCTGTTGGTAATGTTATCGATGTTGAGTTGGACAGATTATTTTGTTGGTAACGTTATCGATGTTGAGTTGGACAGATAGTTTCGTTGGTAATGCTATCGATGTTGAGTTTGACAGATAGTTCTGTTGGTAATGCTATCGATGTTGAGATGTACAGATAGTTGTGTTGGTAATGTTATCGATGTTGAGTTGGACAGATAATTCTGTTGGTAATGTTATCGATGTTAAGTTCGACAGATAGTTTCGTTGGTAATGCTATCGATGTTGAGTTTGACAGATAGTTCTGTTGGTAATGGTATCGATGTTGAGTTGGACAGATAGTTCTGTTGCTAATGTTATTGATGTTGAGTTGGACAGATAGTTCTGTTGGTAATGTTATCGATGTTGAGTTGGACAGATAGTTCTGTTTGTAATGTTATCGATGTTGAGTTGGACAGATAGTTCTGTTTGTAATGTTATCGATGTTGAGTTGGACAGATAGTTGTGTTGGTAATGTTATCGATGTTGAGTTTGACAGATAATTCTGTTGGTAATGTTATCGATGTTAAGTTCGACAGATAGTTTTGTTGGTAATGCTATCGATGTTGAGTTTGACAGATAGTTCTGTTGGTAATGGTATCAATGTTGAGTTGGACAGATAGTTCTGTTGCTAATGTTATTGGTGTTGAGTTGGACAGATAGTTCTGTTGGTAATGTTATCGATGTTGAGTTGGACAAATTTTTCTGTTGGTAATGTTATCGATGTTGAGTTGGACAGATAGTTCTGTTGGTAATGTTATCGATGTTGAGTTGGACAGATAGTTATGTTGCTTATGTTATCGATGTTGAGTTGGACATATACTTATGTTGGTAATGTTATCGATGTTAAGTTCGGCAGATAGTTTCGTTGGTAATGCTATCGATGTTGAGTTTGACAGATTATTTTGTTGGTAATGTTATCGATGTTGTGTTGGACAGATAGTTCTGTTGGTAATGTTATCGATGTTGAGTTGGACAGATTATTCTTTTGGTAATGTTATCGATGTTGAGTTGGACAGATAGTTCTGTTTGTAATGTTATCGATGTTGAGTTGGACAGATAGTTATGTTGCTTATGTTATCGATGTTGAGTTGGACAGATACTTATGTTGGTAATGTTATCGATGTTAAGTTCGACAGATAGTTTCGTTGGTAATGCTATCGATGTTGAGTTGGACAGATTATTTTGTTGGTAATGTTATCGATGTTGAGTTGGACAGATAGTTCTGTTGGTAATGTTATCGATGTTGAGTTGGACAGATAATAATCTTGGTAATGTTATCGATGTTGAGTTGGACAGATTATTTTGTTGGTAATGTTATCGATGATGAGTTGGACAGATAGTTCTGTTGGTAATGTTATGTTAACAATGTTGATTTGGACTGATAGTTCTGTTGGTAATGTTATAGATGTTGAGTTGGACAGATAGTTCTCTTGTTTATGTTATCGATATTGAATTGGACAGATACATGTTGGTCTGTTGGTAATGTTATCGATGTTGAGTTGGACAAATAGTTCTGTTGGTAATGTCATCGATGTTGAGTTGGACAAATAGTTCTGTTGGTAATGTTATCGATGTTGAGTTGGACAGAAAGTTCTGTTGCTAATGTTATCGTTGTTGAGTTGTACATATAGCTCTGTTGGTAATGTTATCGATGTTGAGTTGGACAGATAATAATGTTGGTAATGTTATCGATGTTGAGTTGGACAGATAGTTATGTTGCTTATGTTATCGATGTTGAGTTGGACAGATAATTATGTTGGTAATGTTATCGATGTTAAGTTCAACAGATAGTTTCGTTGGTAATGTTATCGATGTTGAGTTGGACAGATAGTTCTGTTGGTAATGTTATGTTAACAATGTTGATTTGGACTGATAGTTCTGTTGGTAATGTTATCGATTTTGAGTTGTACAGATCGTTATGTTGGTAATGTTATCGATGTTGAGTTGGACAGATAGTTCTCTTGTTTATGTTATCGATGTTGAGTTGGACAAATAGTTCTGTTGGTAATGTTATCGATGCTGAGTTGGACAGATAGTTCTGTTGGCAATGTTATCGATGTTGAGTTGCACAGATAGTTCTGTTGGTAATGCTATCGATGGTGAGTTGGACAGATAGTTCTGTTGGCAATGTTATCGATGTTGAGTTGTACAGATAATTCTGTTGGTAACGTTATCGATGTTGAGTTGGACGTTGGTAATGCTATCGATGTTGAGTTGGCCAGATAATTCTGTTGGGAATGTTATCGATGTTGAGTTGGGCAGATAATTCTGTTGGTAATGTTATCGATGCTGAGTTGGACAGATAGTTCTGTTGGTAGGGGGATCGATGTTGAGTTGGACAAATAGTTCTGTTGGTAATGTTATCGATGTTGAGTTGGACAGATACTTCTGTTTGTAATGTTATCGATGTTGAGTTGGACAGATAATTCTGTTGGTAATGTTATCGATGTTGAGTTGGACAGATAGTTCTATTGGTAAGTTATCGATGTTGAGTTGGACAGATAGTTCTGTTAGTAATGTTATCGATGTTGAGTTCGACACATAGTTCTGTTGGCACTTTTGTATTCCTTTGTTTTCATGTAACAGTTCAAAGATAATTTATTTAATTGGAACTATGAAGAGCCAATAATCGAAAGCTACTTCTCGTACTCAAAACTGGGCAGGTTTAGGCAAAAGACACCAATGGCACAACAGCCTGATTATCTTCATTGTTGTGTTATTGTCCCTACTTCTCACTATTACTAATGATGTAGAAATGATAAGAACTATTATTTACGTGGAAAAAAGAGTGTTTTTCTACCACAAGGGCAACAAATGTTTAACATAGAATATACATATTTGTTTTTGTCCGTAGTCTCTTTATAATTCTCTATCTGTTTTCTCTGTGTACTCATTTATATCTTTATCAACCTACAGACACATCTAAAATGCCCTGTTATGAACTAAATACTGACACGCATTTCTAGCTGTGGTGTAATCGTCACAAAGATAACGTGAAGTAGTATTTTCACCTAGTATGGAGTTGTGAAACCTTACCGATAACCTACTATATAAACCACATATCTCACCCCGTGTCGTACATAGGATCTATCCGGGTCGACAACGGGGAGACGTAAGACGACAACATCGAGATGCTAGGCTTTACCGTCCCACTATGGCTGGTGTTGATCCTAGTCGTGTTGGCTCTATACACATAGTAAGTATTAATAGAATATTTCACCCCCTTGGAGGTGAGATAGGAGAATCTCAATCCGAGGGGGAGGATTCCTAAGTTGCCAAACACGAGGCTTTGCCGAGTGTTTGGCAACTAAAGAATCTTTCCCCGAGTGTTGAGATTCTACTATCTCAACCACAAGGGGGTGAATGATTATTTTTCTCTTACACTGTTCTTTCATTGTGTATCATATTCAGGGTTGACGTGACGTTGATGGATCGTTGACGTGACGTCATTGTATTGTTAAAGTGACGTCATGCCATTGTTAGGAATAGGGGGATCCCCTCGTCTCAACCCTGGGTGAGACAAGGAAATATCACACCGGTAAAATTGCGGATTCACCTGTCCAGGGTAAGAGAAAAAGATATAAATACCATCAAGGTAAATAATATAAGAGTAATATGCATTGAATAGACGCTGTTTTTAGCCCACCATCATCTGATGGTGGGCTATTCAAATCACCCTGCGTCCGTGGTCCGTCGTCCGTCCGTCGTCTGTTGTCCGTCGCCAGTCCGTAAACAATTCTTGTTATCGATATTTTTCAAGAAGTACCAAAAGGATCTTTCTCAAATTTAATATGTAGGTTCCCCTTGGTCCTAAGCTGTGTAGGGCAAATTTTGAGACTGATCGGATAAACAACATGGCCGACAGGCAGCCGTCTTTGATTTTGATAGTGAAACTTTGTTATCGCTATTTCTCAAGAAGCCCTCAAGGGATCTTTCTCAAATTTTATATGTAGGTTCCCCTTAGTCCTTAGCTGTGCAGTGCAACTTTAGAGACTGATCGGATAAACAACATGGCCGACAGGCCGCCATCTTGGATTTTGATAGTGAAAGTTTGTTTTGCTATTTCTCGGGAAGTACGGAAGGATCTTTCTCAAATTTTTAATTTAGGTTCCCCTTGATCCCTCGTTGTGTATGTTATATTTTGAGACTGATCATGAAAACAAAATGGATTAAAAGTAGAACTTAACAGATCTTTCTCATATTGCAATGATCGATTCTATTTCTCTCACATTAAGTACTGTACTAGTAAATATGTGAAATGACAAATTCACTTTGAAGATTAGCTTTCATACACATCAGTATTAAGTATAGATCAAAAGTTACCTCAAGGTGCATTTACTGTTAACATGACTCGAACAAACAGATTAGAGGAAAGAAGAGAAAAGATCGAACTGACATGAACTAATGGTGATGGTACAAAGGTGGGCGCCAAGATCCCTGTGGGATCTCTTGTTTTTATATGCGTAAGTTCCATGCAAATCGATAAATGAAATCTGTTATATGGTGCAATACACCTGTAGGACAGTGAAATCGCTCAGCATGATTTAAACAAAATGAAACGGTTTACGACTCGTTGATTTAATTGTGAGTGTCCAAGTTCGAAACTTATCTCACTTTGTTGGAAGCGTTAATGAATGTTATTTATCTAAAATGGAAAACATTGCTTGATTGTAAAGATGCCAATGACTATAGGTTGAATGTTGCATTTTGTTGACATTCGAAATCTAGTTTGATCGTGCTTTCCACTGACGAGGGAAGAGACTATCGATGCAAATGTAAAGATGCCATTGTAGTTTCTTTTTCTCTTTAATTACACAAGCTTATTCCAAGTTGCAGACATTACCAACATTACACCGAAATAGAAATTGCCACAGAAAACAAAGTAAATATTCATCAACGACAGGTATTAAAACGAATGAATAGGACATCCTTTACTATTACAATAAATGCCATTCAATATGTAACCACCGGTCAAAATGGTTATAATAATAAGTTTAGCATGTGTTATGCCTCGGTTTCAGTATGATGAGTCGTCACCATGGTACCTTTAAGAAACTCAACATACCAGGACCAGCACCCTGGCCAATCATTGGTAGTCTCATGGAAATCAATAAGGCAGTGAGTATATCTAGCTAAGACGCAACTAAATGTATGAATGAATATATCTCACTCTTACCCTCCGAAGTCCATATCATTGCTGTATCCCGTCATTAACAAAGCACCCGATAAAATATATCGCACCATATATACCCATATGTGACAGCAAAGGTTGAAGGTCGGTCAGCAACGACCTACGGCACAGCAAACGTTATTTATGCTTAATCCAACAAATGCAAATTAGGTCTTGATGACAGACAATACCTGTTCTAGCATAGTTTTAAACTTATTTCACTGAAATAACCGGCTACGTGATTTAAGGCCAACTAATTGTCTTAATGCTTGTCCTGTCAGTTAGTTCCGAATGGGATGACTTTTGATTGCATGCGTGTGTAGCGACGAAGAGGTGTGTCGTTAGTTTAATCATGGGATGAAGGTCACACAAGAATTGAAGATGACAAAAGTCAGATTATATCACCTCTGTATTGCATTACCTTATAGTCCCGCTTGGCGCTGACAAGACATTACAATCTAAAAAACAATGTACCATTCGGATTCTGCAAATTCACCTTTTAACTCCGTATTGTTACTTAAAAGTCAAAGTCTATGTTCAAACTTTTATCCCGAAACAAAACGGACCAAAAACGAAATCCCTTGATTGTATTATAACAATGCTATTATACAATATAATGAAAAATATGAAGTAAAAGAAAAAATAGATTAATAATACTAGTATCAATACACAGGACCAAATTCTAGCTAATAGCAGTAGACAAGTATGGATATTATAGATATGATATTATCACAGCTACCACATGGTGTGTATAGGGTACATTGATATTTGTGTCCCTGCTGCCACTTGGGGGTATATGGATTACATTGAAATTATTGTCATATCTAACACTTGGAGGTATATAACGTATATTGATATTATTGTCATAGCTGACATTTGGAGGTATATAACGTATATTGATAGTATTGTCATAGTTGACACTTGGAGGTATATAACGTATATTGATAGTATTGTCATATCTGACCCTTGGAGGTATATAACGTATATTGATATTATTGTCATATCTGACACTTCGAGGTATATAACGTATATTGATATTATTGTCATAGTTGACATTTGGAGGTATATAGAGTATATTGATAGTATTGTCATAGTTGACACTTGGAGGTATATAACGTATATTGATATTATTGTCATATCTGACACTTCGAGGTATATAACGTATATTGATATTATTGTCATAGTTGACATTTGGAGGTATATAGAGTATATTGATAGTATTGTCATAGTTGGCACTTGGAGGTATATAACGTATATTGATATTATCGTCATAGCTGACATTTGGACGTATATAACGTATATTGATATTATTGTCATAGTTCACATTTGGAGGTATATAACGTATATTGATAGTATTGTCATAGTTCACATTTGGAGGGATATAACGTATATTGATATTATTGTCATAGTTCACTAGTATTGTCATAGTTCACATTTGGAGGTATATAACGTATATTGATAGTATTGTCATAGTTCACATAGTATTGTCATAGTTCACATTTGGAGGTATATAACGTATATTGATATTATTGTCATAGCTGACATTTGGACGTATATAACGTATATTGATATAATGGTCATAGTTGACACTTGGAGGTATATAACGTGTATTGATATAATTGTCATATCTGACACTTGGAGGTATATAACGTATATTGATATTATTGTCATAGCTGACACTTGGAGGTATATAACGTATATTGATATTATTGTCATACCTGACACATGGAGGTATATAACGTATATTGATATTATTGTCATAGATGACACTTGGAGGTATATAACGTATATTGATATTATTGTCATAGCTGACATTTGGAGGTATATAACGTATATTAATATTATTGTCATAGCTGACATTTGGACGTATATAACGTATATTGATATTATTGTCATAGTTCACACTTGGTGGTATATAACATTTATTGATATTATTGTCATATCTGACACATTGAGGTATATAACGTATATTGATATTATTGTCATAGCTGACACTTGGACGTATATAACGTATATTAATATTATTGTCATAGCTGACATTTGGACGTACATAACGTATATTGATATTATTGTCATAGTTGACATTTGGAGGTATATAACGTATATTGATAGTATTGTCATAGTTCACACTTTGAGGTATGTAACGTATATTGATATTATTGTCATAGTTCACACTTGGTGGTATATAACGTTTATTGATATTATTGTCATATCTGACACATGGAGGTATATAACGTATATTGATATTATTGTCATAGTTGACATTTGGAGGTATATAACGTATATTGATAGTATTGTCATAGTTCACACTTGGAGGTATGTAACGTATATTGATATTATTGTCATAGTTGACATTTGGACGTATATAATGTATATTGATATTATTGTCATAGTTGACATTTGGAGATATATAACGTATATTAATATTATTGCCATAGCTGACATTTGGACGTATATAACGTATATTGATATTATTGTCATAGCTGACACTTGGAGGTATATAACTTATATTGATAGTATTGTCATAGTTCACATTTGGAGGTATGTAACGTATATTGATATTATTGTCATATCTGACACTTGGAGGTATATAACGTTTATTGATATTATTGTCATAGCTAACACTTTGAGGTATATAACGTATATTGATATTATTGTCATAGTTGACACTTGGAGGTATATAACGTTTATTGATATTATTGTCATACCTGACACATGGAGGTATATAACATATATTGATATTATTGTCATAGTTGACACTTGGAGGTATATAACGTTTATTGATATTATTGTCATACCTAACACATGGAGGTATATAACATATATTGATATTATTCTCATAGTTCACATTTGGAGGTATATAACGTATATTGATATTATTGTCATATCTGACACTTGGAGGTATATAACGTATATTGATATTATTGTCATATCTGATTCTTGGAGGTATTTAACGTTTATTGATATTATTGTCATAGCTGACACTTTGAGGTATATAACGTATATTGATATTATTGTCATAGTTCACATTTGGAGGTATATAACGTATATTGATATTTTTGTCATATCTGATACTTGGAGGTATATAACGTTTATTGATGTTATTGTCATAGCTGACACTTTGAGGTATATAACGTATATTGATATAATTGTCATAGTTGACACTTGGAGGTATATAACGTTTATTGATATTATTGTCATATCTGACACATGGAGGTATATAACATATATTGATATTATTGTCATAGTTCACATTTGGAGGTATGTAACGTATATTGATATTATTGTCATAGTTGACATTTGGAGGTACATAACGTATATTGATATTATTGTCATAGTTGACACTTGGAGGTATATAACGTATATTGACATTATTGTCATATTTTCATTTCATCATATTTTATTGAGTAAACAATAGGATTGAACAGCAGGCTAGGCCTATATAAGTTCTCTCCTTTGGTTGACATGACAAAGACAAAGATGAATGAAATGGTTTGTAAGAAAATATTGATGCAAATCATATATAATAGGTAGCATAGACATATATATATATATAGCAGATGATATAGGGGAGATAATTCCATGTATGTTTCAATTACATATAAATATTTAATTGATATTTTTAGCTTTACAATGCTCATATTAAAAAGTCAATCATAATTGATTAGTAATAGGAAAGCAATGCCCTAATGATATATTAAACAGAGAAATTGCTACAATTGTTTTTTTGTTTTTTGTTTTGCAAGTCATTAGTGCCCCCTGTTCATACCCTGCTGCTGTTGCATGAAGTAGTTAGAAGTATAGAACCATTTAGTATTAATATATATATCATTGGTAGGAGTGATAAAAAGTAAGGGATACAACAACATCAAAATATGAAAAAATAAAATGAGGCAATTCAGCTATTGTCATATCTGATACTTGGAGGTATATAACGTTTATTGATATTATTGTCATAGTTCACATTTGGAGGTATATAACGTATATTGATATTATTGTCATAGCTGACATTTGGAGGTATATATAACGTATGTCATAGCTGAAACTTGGAGGTATATAACGTATATTGATATTATTGTCACGGATGTCGGTTTGAGTTTAAATATTGTCTTTGTATGTTAGCGATGTTAATTGTTTTTACTCAGATTGACCTAACATTTTTAAGCGATATGGAAAACGCCTTGCTATGCTGCACCCCAATCAGTCAAAAACGGTGGATACATTCTTACAGTTTAAACAACATTATAAAATATGTCGATTGATGTTGATGAAATACCTACATGGGAACATGAGCTTTCTGATATATATTTTTTCCACACAAACTTTTTGACTTAAATCAATACGTTTGGTGTTACAGGGATTCCATTCGTTTCAACTAGAATGCAGGAAAAAATATGGAAAAATTTATGGGTATGTATAAGTAATGCTTTCCTTCATAATGTATCCAAATTCTGCGATTATCAAAAAATATGGTAATGTCTTTTTGTCATTACGACGATTACCTTTCGCTTTTTCAAATCATTTAGAATTGATTCTGCATTGACACATTTCTCCAAGATACCTTGTTCAAATTATGTACCTAAAACAGTTTCACGAAACGTTTGTTTACAGTGACAAGGGTCTTTAAAAACGGTTTATTTTGATTGATCTCATTGCAGGTACTTTGGCGGATTGTCACCTCAAACGCTTGTCGTCGGAGACAAGGAGATGCTGAGGAAGATTCTTGTGAAAGAATTCAATAACTTTTCGGACAGAATAGTAAGTTACAATTTACTTAATCATATATCAGAAACAACGGCTAATATAGTGTAAGAAACCCCAGGAGCTCATGCACTAACAGTAAATTACCAAGGAGTATATGACGTTTTGGTAATATTAAGGCTCTGAAGTATACTATACAGTAGGCCTTAATTTTAGCGTTGTCATTTTGTCTGCTGAAGTTTTGTTGTTTTAATAGATATTTAAAGGCTTCAATGGCGACTTGGAATCATCTGTTAATAACTTAAAGGGAAATCACTGGAAACACGTGCGTAATAAGATTACTCCCGCATTCTCCACTGGAAAACTGCGCAAGGTAAGCATGTCTTCTTCTAGTATTATTTTCCTTCCCTTATTACCCTAGTCTTCTCAGCCGAAAAGGCTGCTACTGAGGAGACCGAGAAAAGGTGGGACCAAGAAACTAAGAACATCAACAGGAAATGAGACCAGGTATCTTAGCACAGAAACAGGAGGTGAGACCAGGTAAATTCATATTGAAGACTCTAGTAGGCACAATACTGTTCAGCGCATTGCCGAAACAATGAGAGTATGTATGCAGAGATTCATATGCCACACAAAAAAAAAAAAAAAAAAAAATCGTCATTGTCCGGCATACAAATATACGAATGACCCCCCCCCCTGATTTTTTTTTTTTTTTTTGATATTTCAACTGGACGTGACATCAAGTTCTCTTTTTCCCCCTCAACTTCCCAAACTCTAGGATGACAATGAAGTTTCTTTTTTAATGATGACGTAATAACTACTGTTTGTAATGTTTTGGAATAAAATCATCAGTGGATCAAATCGTTACAGTACCTAAAACGAGACACTTGTCGGAAAACGGGCTAGGAAATTGACATATAACTCAATTGGACTGTATATCAGCTTTATTGGGTGTTGATTATGACCATATGGCCAGCTTTAAGTTAGAAATAATTTCGGAATATCATTTTCAAAAACTTACTTATTCAAAACTAATGCTAGTTTTGAAAGGAAACCTGATCAGAACCTCCTTTGAGTCTAAAAGATTTTAACGATGTGTTATATTTGCTTATAATGATCGTTTATCGCACAATATTAGCCAAAACTCCAAATTGTCAATTTCCGGGTACAGTTTTATTTGTTCAAAAAACCGATGCCGGAAATTTCAACCTTTAAAAGAAATGAAAAGTGGATAATGCTACTTCATTAGAAATGGACAAACATTTTTTTGAATTGATACTATCATATAAAATACACCAATATTTAACTGAAAAGTGTTCTGTTTTGGGTCCGGTGACGGAAGGTACAAGATGATTTTTTCAAACCGTGCCTACAAAAGTTAATGTATTTTAGAGGATATCATCATTCTAACAAGAAAAGAAATTATTTCATTACATTTTACCAGTGAATTATCAGGAATTAACCATTCGTTTAAACTTGTATCATCACTGAAGTCAGGATATACGAATGTTTGTTTTTTTCTTGTGAAGACAACACGTTAAGTACTGTCCAATCAGAACGGTAATAACTATTCTCTGCTTAGATTTTCGGTTACATGTTCAGAAACAGGAAAGGAAGTGAGGCACGGTAGTTTAGTGGTAGGACGCCTGGCTCGTGAACGAGGGGTTGCGCGTTCGAGTCACGTCACAGCACTGTGGTGTATCCTTGAGCAAGATACTTTACTCCGCTTGTTCCAGTCTACTCAGCTATAAATGAGTACGTGGTCGGGCAGAGCTAGAATTGTTGAATGCTAGCTGTGAGCGCCAAAATGACAGCACCGGCTGTATGCTCCCCATGGAGTCGAGAAAGATATTAGCTGGTTACAAAGGCCCTATAACCACGGATTATAATTTGTGAACCCGCTTTGAGACGACCGACGAACTAGGTTGTGATAAAGCGGTGTATAAGAACCTCGAATCTTATTAAGACATTATTTAGGTACATCTTTGCAACATACATAATGGTATTTGCATAACTACAAAATTGTTATCATTTTGGGGTTGGAATATTACCGGAAACAGAGTGATAGCAGCAAACGACAGAATTGCGTTTAGTTTCCATTCCAAAATGCCACCCTGTCATGTTTTCAACCGTGCCGTCATTAGAACATGTCGTCAAATATTACGCTACTAATTCCCACACACTTTTCAGATACAGAAATATTTGCGTCATTTCACTTTTATAATGTAATAAACAGATAATTAATGTGTTTTTAATTGAATATCATATATATTTGTAAAATATATTTACACTTCTAAACAGGACACCATTAAGTATCCTCTTTTTTTATCAGATGGTGCCGTTGGTGGATTACGCCAGTGACACGCTTTTGGAAGCACTGAGGAAGAAGGTGAAGGATGGAGATGGAGTGATGGAAATGCTGGAGTGGGTTTCATTGAAATCGTATCCAAATTGTCATATCGTTTTATCGTTTTTAGAAGCCTTGTAGTCTAGTGGTAGGACGTCGGGCTCGTGACGAATGGTTACGAGTTCAAGTCACGGCACGGCACTGTGTTGTATCTTTGAGCAAGATACTTTACTGCATTGTTCCAGTCTACTCACCTGTAAATGAGTACGTGGTGTGGCAGTGCTAGAGTTGTTAAATGGTAGCTGTGAGCGCCGAAATGGCAGCACCGGCTGTATGCTCCCCAAGGAGTCGAGAAAGATTTTGGCTAGTTGCAAAGGTCCTATAACAACGGATAATAATTTGTGAACCGCTTTGAGACGACCTTCGAACTAGGTAGTGATAAAGCGGTATATAAGAACCTCGAATTATTATTATTATTAATAATATTAATTACAATATCGTGGGAAGAACATCCAAACAACGTATACGGGTCCTTAATATGAGTCTTGTTTGCAGCCATGAGTAGTGTGGTGTTGTAGTTTTAAATTCAGCTAGTATGTCTTTGTTTGATAGATAAGATCAATATGTCAATTGTTTCATTATGAATATAATAACATTCTAAGGGGGTTTGGCTGTATATATTGGTAATCTTATGGTGATTTTTTTCCCCGATTTTTCTGTTTGTGTATATGAAATATTTTATGGGCATTTATTGTGTATACGAGATATTCTACGGGCATTTTTCTAATTTGTGCATAGAATATTCTATGAGTGTTTTGCTTAATATATGTATACAGGATATTCTTTTGGTATATTTCTGACTGTGTATACGATATATTTTATGGTTTACGAATCTATGTCCACAGGATATTAGTTTGTGATTTATTCACCTGCTATATTATGAACTCATCTTACGCTAAATGCATAGTATTCTCTTTGACATTTTTTCTGACTGCGCATATGGAATATTCTTTGGTTATTTGTCTAAGCTTGTTTACCTTATCCTTTAAAATAATTGTATGACCATGCATGCGGTTTATTTTTGATTTAAGTTCGACTACGTATTTCTCATTTATTCGTATGAACACTGTAGCAATATGTTTTAGGGTATTTTTGTCTTACCGCGTATGCCTGATATATTAATTAGGTATATGAAAGTAGCAATATGCCTTTGGATTTATTTGTCTGACTCTGTATACGGTATCTTTTATGATATTTATGGTCTGACCGTACTTACTGTGAGTGTTGCACTGGGGTATTTTTTCTGTCCGTGAACGTTATATTGTTTCGGATAATTATGCAGAATATTTCTAATATTTTGGGGTGTTAGTTTGACGGTACATTCCATGATATTTTGTCTGACCATGATTATACCATTCATCCCGGGATATTTTGTCTGACCATGTTTATGCCATTCATCCCGGGATATTTGTCTGACCATGTTTATGCCATTCATCCCGGGATATTTGTCTGACCATGTTTGTGCCATTCATCCCGGGATATTTGTCTGGCCGTGTTTATGCCGTTCATCCCGGGATATTTGTCTGACCTTGTTTATGCCATTCATCCCGGGATATTTGTCTGACCATGTTTATGCCGTTCATCTCGGGATATTTGTCTGACTGTGTTTATGCCATTCATCCCGGGATATTTGTCTGACCGTGTTTATGTCGTTTATCCCGGGATATTTGTCTGACCGTGTTTATGCCATTCATCCCGGGATATCTGTCTGACCGTGTTTATGCCATTCATCCCGGGATATTTGTCTGGCCATGTTTATGCCATTCATCCCGGGATATTTGTCTGACCTTGTTTATGCCATTCATCCCGGGATATTTGTCTGACCGTGTTTATGCCATTCATACCGGGATATTTTGTCTGACCATGTTTATGCCATTCATCCCGGGATATTTTGTCTGACCATGTTTATGCCGTTCATCCCGGGATATTTGTCTGACCATGTTTATGCCATTCATCCCGGGATATTTGTCTGACCGTGTTTATGCCATTCATACCGGGATATTTTGTCTGACCATGTTTACGCCATTCATCCCGGGATATTTTGTCTGACCATGTTTATGCCGTTCATCCCGGGATATTTGTCTGGCCGTGTTTATGCCATTCATCCCGGGATATTTTGTCTGACCATGTTTATGCCATTCATCCCGGGATATTTGTCTGGCCGTGTTTATGCCGTTCATCCCGGGATATTTGTCTGGCCTTGTTTATGCCGTTCATCCCGGGATATTTGTCTGACCATGTTTATGCCGTTCATTCCGGGATATTTGTCTGACCGTATTTATGCCGTTCATCCCGGGATATTTGTCTGACCATGTTTATGCCATTCATCCCGGGATATTTATTTGGCCGTGTTTATGCCATTCATCCCGGGATATTTGTCTGACCGTGTTTATGCCATTCATCCCGGGATATTTGTCTGACCATGTTTATGCCATTCATACCGGGATATTTGTCTGACCGTATTTATGCCATTCACCCCGGGATATTTGTCTGACCGTGTTTATGCCGTTCATCCCGGGATATTTGTCTGACCATGTTTATGCCATTCATCCCGGGATATTTGTCTGACCGTGTTTATGCCATTCATCCCGGGATACTTGTCTGACCATGTTTATGCCATTCATACCGGGATATTTGTCTGACCGTGTTTATGCCATTCACCCAGGGATATTTGTCTGACCGTGTTTATGCCATTCATCCCGGGATATTTGTCTGACCGTGTTTGCTTTATATCAAGGGTGTATGGAGCCTACGCCATGGACGTCATATGCTCGACAGCCTTTGGAATTCAAGTTGATTCACAACAAAACCCAAACGATGAATTCATTGTCAACGCCAAAAAGTTTATGATTTTGAATTTTTCATCTTCAATCATTTTGATTTTGAGTAAGTCAAATATTCTTATTTGATCAATAAACTTATAAAACATGTTATTTCTTAGAATAACCTTTTCTACATAATACAGTGTATATATGTATACCATAAATATATATATATATATAAACGCACAGAAGATTTGTATTTGTGCTTATGTATTTATCCTTCATTCTGTTAAAAAATGTTATTTATATTTTCGTATCATTTTTTTAGTGTTCCTGCCAAAACTCCATTTTCTCATGCCCTTCCTTGGATGGTCTTTCATTGATAAACATGTACAGAAATTCTTCCGCAATGTGACGGTCAAACTTCTTGATGAACGTGTTGCTGGGAACAAGGTACAGTGTTGCTCCAAGTATTGTCACTGAAACATTGACTTAAATAATTGGCGATATCTTATGTGAATTAAGAATGTTTTTGTTTGACATTCTTATTAGCTATGTACACGTTCAAACATACGAACTTGTTTTAAAGCAAACAAATTAGTAACATTATAAGTTCAACTGCCAAGACAGTATTTACAGTCATTAATTACAGTCACAAGGCTGAAATATTCATACACATTATACAGCCTATACAACCACTGTTTCCCTTATCAGCTTTGCTGCTGTTTACCTGTCATTGATGATTTGTAGGATCGGGTAGACTTTCTTCAGTTGATGAAAAATGTGCAGCATGGCGAGGATGGTGACTCTGACGAAGAAGAAGATGATGATATTGACAAGGAAAATGTTTCTGGAAGTAAACTTCCCAATTCCTGGTATAGAAAAGGTATCATGTGATGAATAAACGGTGATTATATTATAAAAGCAGAAAAATGATGTAAAAAGAAATAATGTAAAAAGAAAAAAATCTCAACAACGAGTCTTTAGTACTTTCATCTATTCTAGGAGATTCTTCAGACTCTATACTTGTATATTATATATATAGTTAATTTGTTTTAAAACAATTATGAGACAAGTTATATAACCTATGTAATATCAGTACATTGTCATTGTCAAGGAGGTCTGTCAGCATGTAAGAAAACCGTACTGACCTCAGAATTTCTGTTACTTTTATCGTTGTATTGACAAGAACAGTTAATTTCATGCAACACTCTTGTTTACTTAACTCATTTAAGAAACTAGTATATAACTACTGTAATGCATTTATTCATTAATGACAGCGACAAATGCCAAAATGTAATATACTGAAGATGAAATCGGGAAAAAGGATTGAATGTTTGGAAGACAACATTTTTTGTCGAGTTTGATGGCAGACTATTGGTATACCAATGACAAAAACATCTTGTCCCTCTCTTCTGCATCAATTGGAAATGATTTATGACATGTTTGGTTCCAGCTCATTAGTGTGACCTGTGGTATATCAGGACGTGGAATGGCTTGAAACATGCAAAAGTGGTGTAACTGTTGTATTAATGACGTAACTTCAGGAGAATATCAATGTAACATATGCTATGAGAACATATATGTAATCCAGTAGAATCATCCTACGTACATGCAATGCTGTAAACAACTTCTGTAGGTTTCATAATGAAACTAACACCAGGTTGATTCGTAGATAATCTGTGTTGGTTAACGATCCCTTCCAGGAAGGGTGTTATTTATAACCAGCTACATTTGTGTATGTTAAATAGACAATCTGTGTTGGATAACGATCCCTTCCAGGAAGGGTGTTATTTATAACCAGCTACATTTGTGTATGTTAAACAGACAATCTGTGTTGGTTAACGATCCCTTCCAGGAAGGGTGTTATTACCTGCTACGTTTGTGTATGTTAAACAGACAATCTGTGTTGGTTAACGATCCCTTCCAGGAAGGGTGTTATAACCAGCTACATTTGTGTATGTTAAACAGACAATCTGTGTTGGTTAACGATCCCTTCCAGGAAGGGTGTTATTACCTGCTACGTTTGTGTATGTTAAACAGACAATCTGTACAATAGTATTACATCCTCGTTATAAATGCATGTCACATTTCCGTCTTGAATCACGGCAATATGAACATAAATGAATTTAACACTCATTAGTAGTATTATATTGTTACTTGCGGTAAAATCATACAAAAGATATTGTTTAATAACGTGTTTCATCGTGAGAAATTATAAAAATGTTATGAGAAATTCTTCTTTTGGAAACAGGTATCACATTTAAGGAAATCCTTGGAAACGCAGAAATATTTTTCTTAGCTGGTTACGAGACTACCATGATAACGTTAACCATGGCATCATATTACCTCGCCGTGCACCCGGAGTACCAGGACAAGCTGCGGCGGGAACTGTTCGACAAGATAGGCTCCGTATGTATACAAGATAGGCTCCATATATATACAAGATAGGCTCCATATGTATAAAAGATAGGCTCCATATGTATACAAAATACAAAATAGGCTCCGTATGTATACAAGATAGGCTCCGTATATATACAAGGTAGGTTCCGTATGTATACAAGATAGGCTCCGTATGTATACAAGATAGGTTCCGTATGTATACAAGATAGGCTCCATATGTATACAAGATAGGCTCCGTATGTATACAAGATAGGCTCCGTATGTATACAAGATAGGCTCCGTATGTATACAAGATACATGTAGGCCCCGTATATATACAAGATAGGCTCCGTATGTTTACAAGATAGGCTCCGTATGTAGATAAGATAGGCTCCGTATGTATACAAGATAGGTTCCGTATGTAAACCAGATAGGGTCCGTTATATACAAGATAGGCTCCGTATGTATACAAGATAGGCTCCGTATGTAAACCAGATAGGCTCCGTATGTTTACAAGATAGGATCCGTATATATACAAGATAGGCTCCGTATCTTTACAAGATAGGCTCCTTATGTATATAAGATAGGCTCCGTATGTATACAAGATAGGCTCCGTATGTTAACCAGATAGGATCCGTTATATACAAGATAGGCTCCGTATTTATACAAGATAGGCTCCGTATGTAAACCAGATAGGCTCCGCATTTATACAAGATAGGCTCCGTATATATACAAGATAGGCTCCGTATGTAAACCAGATAGGCTCCGCATGTATACAAGATAGGCTCCGTATGTATACAAGATAGGCTTCGTATGTAAACCAGATAGGCTCCGTATATATACAAGAGAGGCTCCGTATGTATACAAGATAGGCTCCGTATGTATACAAGATAGGCTCCGTATGTATACAAGATAGGCTCCGTATATATACAATATAGGCTCCGTATATATACAAGATAGGGTCCGTATGTATACAAGATAGGCTCCTTATGTATACAAGATAGGCTCCGTATGTAAACAAGATAGGCTCCGTAATATACAAGATAGGCTCCGTATGTATAAAAGATAGGCTCCGTATGTAAACCAGATAGGCTCCGCATGTATACAAGATAGGCTCCGTATGTATACAAGATAGGCTCCGTATGTA